AAGATTGACACAAGTGAACTTGAGACGATGCAAGGAATAACATGGTGTGGGAGGTGTCAAAAACAGAATAATGATCGGCGACGAAACACTGATTAAAGATTTTTTACTAAAAGATGAAAGCTTGGAGAGAGAGAGAATGAGATTTCTAAAAGATGAAACTTTCCATATTTTGGGGTTATATATTCCCTTAAAAAAGAATAATGGTAAAATTATGCCATTAGTCCTCTATTTTTTGATACTTTCTGAATTTGGATCCGAATTTAATCAAAATTTTACTTTGATCTATGAATTTAGTTAAAATTTTAATTTAGTTCTCGAAAAAGTTTTAAGAAAATTTTAAGTCATAAATTGGGATGTGACACTTTGTTTAATAATATTTAAGTTCGACTCAACTCATTCATGTCCTACGTATTAAATATTGGAGAAAATAACCTCAGTGACCGAAAATGCCTTATAATATACGATTTTGACCAACTTTTTTTTCGATTTGCCAAAATGACCAACAAAATCGCAATGCGATCTCTAAATCGCAACGCGATCTCCAGTATCGCAAATCAGTTTCCAGATTCGCAACGCGATTTTGACTATCGCGTTGCGATTCGCAACGCGAATATGTAAATCGCAATGCGATTCTGACTATCGCAACGGGATAATACAAAATCGTAAGGCGATTCTGACTATCGTAACGCGATAATACAAAATCACAACGCGATTCTGACTATCACAACGCGATAAAATCGCAATGCGATTTTCCAAATTCGTTGCAATAGTCAAAGTTCGCATTGCGATTTTCTAAAATTGCAACGACTGGTGGTATTGCATTTGTTTCTTAAGAATTTTCTCTAAAAAGATAGTATCCGCGCGAACGTGTCGAAGACACGTATTACTACGACCACGACCACGACCCGAGACGGGACGGCAGCGGCGGTGGTGCGCGAGAGTCCCCCTTGTTCTCTTCCACTCAACAAGGAAGTGGGAAATATAAGCATTACATACCCATTCCCAATAGTGTTTCCAATACTATGTGGGATTGAGCATTGCAAATACTTGGGAATCTTTTACACTATCGCAACACATTCTATATTGTTTCAAACTAAGATCTTACAAATGGCTTGAGAATCTTTTACACTATCGCAACACATTCTTTATTGTTTCAAACTCCACGTGATTTTGGAATAGTTAAAATGTAAACTTATTTTGGATTTTTCACTATCGCAATATTTTTTCACTATCGAAACAACACGTTTTTCAAACTCTCGCAACACATTTTAACTATCGCAACACATTTTTCAGAATCACGTTACGAATCTTACAATCGCGTTGCGAATCTGGATATTCGCGTTGCGAATTTGGAAACTGAGTTGCGAATTTAAGATCGCGTTGCGATTTTGTTGGTCATTTTGATAAATCCAAAAAAATTTAGTTAAAATCGTATATTATAAGACATTTTCGGTCACTGAGGTTATTTTCTCTAAATATTATCACTTATAATTGAGCCCCTCCACTTTCTTTTTCACTTTTTGGATGGATATTTAGAGCCCACTCAAATTGACTTTCTTCTCTCTCCAAGTAAATAATTTCATTGGTGGGCCAAGAATCCTAAGCAAAGGCCTTTTATTTTCTTTATATGGCTAGTACTTACATGTTAGGCAATTGCTTTGTTAGCTTTTGAATTGTAAATTTGCCAAAGAAAATTGGGATTACGATTAAACTTTAATTAGACAATAAAATATTGATTAATTATTTGACTAATTAATCACACTCACCTTGACCCTAATGGCCCACTAAGTGGATCTTCTAGAGGATTTTATTGAAATTTAGTACAGTTTCATATCATAGCATTCATTAGGCGTGTTCAAAAATTTTTGCTCTTAGTATATTTGATTCGTTAAGTGTCTCGTGTTGTATTTATCATAATATATATCTGGATCAGAAAAAGTCAATAGTCTTTTATAGGTAGATACTCTTTTTTTTTATCAATTTATCGATATATTCAAAATCGTTCGTAGAACAATCTCTCATATTGATTTTCAATCTCTACATCTAAATCAAGTATTGAACTTAATTTTAAATAGAAACATAAATATTATTAATAGTTACTAGTTTTGTTTTTTTAAGATGAAACATTTATTCAAAGAAATGTTGAGATTATATTATTTTTTGTTGTACCTTGCGTACTACCTTATATATGTATTTAAACAAAAAATGATAATATCTATAGACATAAAAGTATTCATTATGAAACATAAGATAATATTGTTATTATTATGTTAATGCTTCTCAATATTAAATACTTTAAATCACAAAATGAGATTTGTTACAAGAAAATGTAAATGTAAATAAGTCCTAACAGTGTGGAATGTGGTTGAACATGCGTTTCAAACACGAGTTCTATGAAGAATGATATATTATTATGTCCTATTAGTAAACATGACAAAAATTATTAATTCGATGAATAATCTGATTTTCAATATTGAAAATATTTAGGTAAAAAAAGTGAATATATATATATATATATATATATATATATATATATATATGTGTGTTAAAATACGAATCAATTTACTTTAATGGTTAAAAAAATCACCTTTAGCTTAACTAATATATATATATATTTGAATTTAAGGAATAGACCAGACTAGGAACCATAGTTTTTAACCATAGTTTTTTTGCCGTTGTTAATCTTTTATTCTTTTTTTTTGTAATTGACAGCAACACCGACTATAGTGTTGGTTGTTAACCGTTGATATTTATTATTTTATTTTATTTTATTATGTCATATCTTTATTTTTTTAATTTTTAATAACTATGTTTTTATTACATTTTTTTTGTATTTTGACACATTTTCGATCGTTTGACCGTTATTTTCGTTTATCTTTTTTCTCATGGTCTGATTTGACATAGTCATGACTAATAAAGATGAAACTAATTTGTTATCATACTGATCTTCCCTGCTTTGGATAATCAGATTGAGTTTGGATACGTGATTAGCGTTTGTGGATAGTTATCTCACGTCGTTCAATTATGATTTGTGGTTTATCGATGATCTTTAATAACTTAATACCCTTTTGTGATTTGTTTACTGGTGTGGTTAAATCTATTCATATTTACCTTTTATTCGACTTTATTTAATTAGGTTTCTAACATTTTCCTTATATGATCATTATAATATTAAGTGACTAATTTCTTGTATTAATGATTATAGGAAGATATTTATTATTATGTATTTAGTTTACAACTGTAATTGAAAACTTTCATTATAATTTGGATATTTTTTTAATTTTAACAAAATCGCGTTGCGATTTTTCATTTCGCGTTGCGTTAGTTGAAAATCGCGTTGCGATTTTCCATTTCGTGTTGCGATAGTCTACAGTTGTCGTTGCGATTTTCCAAATTCGTTGTGATAGTTAAAAAAAAGATTTTGTTTCTTAAGAATTTTCTCTAAAAATATAGTATCCGCGCGGACGTGTCGAAGACACGTATTACCACGACCACGACCACGACCACGACCACGAGACGAGACGAGACGGACGGCGGCGGCGGCGCGCGAGAGTCCCCCTTGTTCTCTATCACTCAACAAGGAAGTGAGAAAGCCAAGCCTTAAATACCATTCCCAATAGTGTTTCCAATACTATGTAGGATTTGAGCATTACCAACACTTGTTCCCAATACTATGTGGGATTTAGCCTTAAATAGTGATATTATTTTTGAATGTTTTGCTTAAAATTACAATAATCGCGATTGATTGTAGATTGACTTTTAATTATGACATATTTAATCGTATAATACTAATGTAATTGGTTGTTGATTCAGTTGTTTTAAGGTGCATGATTGTTAATTGTTTCCTGAATAATCACATTGTATTGGAAACAAGTGTTGGTAATGCTCAATCCCACATTGTATTGGAAACACTATTGGGAATGGTATTTAAGGCTTGGCTTTCCCACTTCCTTGTTGAGTGATAGAGAACAAGGGGGACTCTCGTGCACCGCCGCCGCCGTTCGTCTCGGGTCGGGTCGGGTCGTGGTCGTGGTCGTGGTCGTGGTCGTGGTAATACGTGTGTCTTCGACACGTCCGCGCGTATACTATCTTTTTAGAGAGAATTCTTAAGAAACAAAATCTTTTTTTTCAACGAATTTGGAAAATCGCAACGACAACTGTAGACTATCGCAACGCGAAATGGAAAATCGCAAAGCGGTTTTCAACTATCGCAAACGCGATCTCCAACTATCACAACGCGAAATGGAAAAACGCAACGCGATTTTCAACTATCGCAATGCGAAATGCAACGTGAATTTGCGATAGTGGAGATCGCATTGTGATTTTGTTGGTCATTTTCGCAAATCCAAAAAAATTGGTCAAAATCGTATATTATCTAAGATTTTTGGTCACTGAGGTTATTTTCTCTATAAAAAATTGAATTAAAGAAATTTGATTATATATTTTTTAAAAATACACAATTATTTAATTGATTATGATACATAGAATTGTATATTATCTATATAAATAACAGAGAATGGAGTTCATCAAACAGCAATAATGAGCCCCATTTGATTTCTTTATATACTTGGCCTGTTTGCTTGCTCCCCCACTCTCTCTTCCGTTCGAGTTGGCCTTAAAACCATCTCTCTCTCTCTCTCTCTCTCTCTCTCTCTTGTTTATTATTATTTTTGTTCTTTTGCCCTCACTTGTTTCCCTTTAAAACCATTCCTGGGAGCGCATTAGTTGTGTCTGGAACTCAGTAAACACAGTCCATAACTTGAGAATTCTTCTTGGAATCCACAATTTTCTTTCCGGTTTCTCGGGCTCCGGATCTGCCACCCATTTCACCAACACGTTTTCTCGGTTACCCCCTTCAACTTAAAACCCCGTACCTTTCTACAAGAAGCCACCTTTCCACTCTCCAAAAGCATCGAGAAACACGTCTTTTGATTTATATATACAGGACTGATAGAGGGAAAGAGGAGGAGGAGGAGTTGCTTTGTTTTTGAGTTTTGGATATGGCAGGTAATCAACAGGAAGCCGGGTTAGGTGATGATTTCTTTGAGCAGATCCTGCAAGTACCCCCTGGCTACGGTGGTGGCGGCGGCAGCGGTGGTGGTGCCAACTTGCCTATGGGGTTGCAGCTAGGGTCAGGTGGTGGTGGTGCAACCGGTGCCAGTGGTGGAGATGTTGGTGGTGGTGGTGGAGGGTTTAGAGGAATGGGAATGATGCCTTTAGGGTTGAATTTGGAACATGGATTCTTGAGACATGAAGATGGAGTTGTCGATAACAGCAGCAACAACAAAAATGCTTCTTGTTCAGCTGCTTCTGCTGTTGCTGGCATCAGTGTATGAAATCAATCACTCTTTTACATCAATTAAAACCCTTTATTTTTGTATGGTTTCTACTCATCTTTCTTCCGCTTTCGCTTTCCTTTTGAAGGATTGTTACAAAATATGGGTTTATAATTTCATTTTGTCCATCAGTAATGAATTATTGCAGCTTTGGGTTGTCCTTTTTTCTGTTTTTTATACTCTTTTCACCTATATGAAGAATTGAAAAAGAAATTTCTGATAGAATTTAAACAATCTAATCTATAAATGATAAGATGATATTAGGTACATGAACATTATTTTCAAGGGTTTCTGAAATTTTACCTGTAAAGTTTGCTCTTTGGACCTATTTTTCTCTCTTTAAAGTCAGCCTTTTCCTGCTGGGAAACTAATCCAAACTATGACTTAAGAGAAAATGACATTTTTCTTAAAATACTGTTCCAATGTTTTCAAAATTATAGGTTTAATATGATGGAAATTAGAAGGTTATTTTAGTCATCGTGTGTTCTTTTTGTAACTTTGCTTTGTGTCAGGAGAGAGATTCTATGCATATGGGAAGCTTGTTTCCACATTTTGGACAAATGCAAGCTCAGCAAATCCGCCCTTCGCCGCCGCCTCAGCCTCCACAGCAGCTCCACCAGGTAAAACTTATTTTTTGGTCAGATATACCCTCTTTCTCTCATTTTCCTTTCTCTCCAATGATAAAAAATAAGTTTAAAATTCTAGCAAAAAATTTATTTGTAGCATATACCAAAAAGAAATTGAAAATCTGGGATTGAAGTGCCTTTTTGTTTTGCTCTTCCTTTCAAAGCTGTACTGTAAAATTTGACCTTTTTTGTACGGTTTCATCATGATTAAGGTCAGGGGTATATTTGATACTTAGCGAAAACCTAGGGGGTTTAATTATTATTTTTCATTTTACTACTCGTCCTGTCACGCTCTTTAAAGTGAGGGTGGGGGAAAAAGGGAGGTGATTTGGCACGGGATATAAAGTGTTGTGCACGTGTGGGGAACTCTGCAATTATCATCTCGGATCCTATACAGTTTTACAAAGGTTAAAGGGTGATGGACCTGTGCGGTCCTTTTCAGCATCCAAGTGATGATCTTTGTCGGAATAGATTTCCCAAACGCGACTTGAGTGTTTGAGAAATGGCGCGTGTGTTACAAACGCGTCAAAAGTTCATCTTGGAATTGTATTCGACTTTATCATATAATGAAACATTAAAGGTTAAAGTGTAGTTGTTTTGTTCATTACTTTAGAACATTTTTATTGCATAATCTGTTACATTCTTGTGCAGCCATTTCATAGCCAGCCGACATCGGGTCCAGTTGCTGCTGCACCGCATCCGCCTGCCGTCCGTCCAAGGGTACGAGCTAGGCGAGGACAGGCAACCGATCCCCACAGTATCGCTGAGCGGGTAAAACTCGAGCGCTTTTCTCGTCGAAAGTTCTTTACCAGCCACTGCTTAGTTCCTCTTCATTCAGGACACTTCATATGGTCTTAATATACCATGTTTGTTGTTTTCTTAGCAATATCATTAAAAAAAATTCTGGTAATCTTTTCGTTTTGTTTATTTAGTCCTTATCTTCTATTCTTTTGAACCTCTATCGGTCCCTCCGTGTTTATTTTCTCCGGTGAATGCAGTTACGTCGAGAAAGAATCGCTGAAAGAATGAAGGCTTTGCAAGAGCTGGTTCCTAGCTGCAACAAGGTTAGGATTTCTTGTTACAATGTGACAACTACTTTCCGTATTTGCTGATGCATTGCTGAATCTTCTGCAGACGGACAGGGCAGCTATGCTTGATGAAATTGTAGATTACGTGAAGTTTCTTAGACTTCAAGTTAAGGTAATTAACATTTAAAATCTCGATACTGATCTCGGATTAACTAAAATTCGTTGTACTTTAATTGTTTTTTCCCTTTTATGCTAAATTAGTCTTTCTCAATATGCTTAGAAAGGAATCATTTTAGTAAAGGTAATAAAGTTGTAGACATCTTCTAATATTGCTTTCAGAACATCGAATTCGTCGTCGTTTTCTCATTTTTTGTAAGGCCAAGGAAAATTTTGAAAAAGCGAAAAGGAAGACGAGACGAAAACACCTTATCATCACTATGGAAAAGTACTTCAACTAATTTCAATTAATTGTTCGGATAATATCTTGCAAAAGTCTTTGGCAAGTACTTCGGGTAGGACCCTTATGCTGAATCCTAGATGTCTATGAAGACCTTAAGGAATCCCTTTCTGTTTCGATGTCAAACTAAATCGACTCTTGTCTGGTCCTGGAATCTCGAGGCCACGAAATAAGTTATTGTCGAATAGTAATGAATGTGAACTGCATCACTGTTAGTTGGAACAACTAAAGACTGTGAACCGACTTACCGTTCATTCCTTTTCTCCGGCAGCTGATTTCTGTTATATATTATTTTTGCTATTTGAACAGGTTCTCAGCATGAGCAGACTTGGGGCAGCAGGTGCCGTGACCCCGCTTGTAGCCGATGTACCCCTATTATCCGTTGAGGTAAAATACAGAATAATCGTAATTGTTAATTGTTAATCGTTGAATCTTTCCATCTGAAGTACTAAGCATGTAAGTGTCCGTGTTTAGGCACGAAATCATCATGTATGCATGAAAAATGAAAAAGAAGTAATGACTTGTATGTTAAGGTATCTGTTGTTGCCTAAGTTCCTTGTTGCTTTGGAATTTATGAATGTACATTATTTCACTTTCCCGGGTCGTTTTCTATGAATCTATAACCGGATAGAGTAGTTGGCTGTCGTTTTCTCCTTTTCGGACCTACCATGTTCTCTTAGTCTTCTATTTTTCCACGATTTTACCTTTCTATTATCTTTCTATGAATAGGGAGATGGAGGCCAGCCTGCTTGGGAAAAATGGTCAAACGATGGCACCGAACAGCAAGTGGCTAAGCTGATGGAAGAAGACATCGGAGCTGCCATGCAGTTTCTTCAGTCCAAGGCACTCTGCATCGTGCCGATTTCACTGACGTCTGCGATCTTCCCCGCACATCAATCGGATGCACCAACGATCGTCAAGCCCGAATCAAACACCCCTTCATAAAAGATAAAAGCAACATCATGATGCATGTAGAAGTCACTCCTAGCTCACTCGCGATATAAGCTGTTCCGTGCTTCGGTCCAAGCTCTAACTCCGACCACCGGCAACCTTTTTCGGAAGGTATTTCGATGGATATCCCACGATGTATGTCAAATGGAAAACAAAGGTCGATTGATGTCTACTTCTTTGTAATATGAGTGGAGGATGACCAAAAAATAATGGTGGTAGGAACTCGCTTTCTTTTCTTTTCCTTTTTCTTGGATAATGGGAAGTGGGTCCATCGAAATTGGATGGATCGGCATCCCCATGATGTATTTTAAGAAAATTTTAATGCAACTTGAATTATGTTATGTACTTCCTTTCTATATGGCCTTTGCTCACCGTTGAATTAAACCTAACCGATCGGTCGAATTAAGAATTAAAACCGAACCGTTCGATCGATTAAGTATTGTTGAGATCGGATTAATTGGACGGGGAATCAATAGGTTCAACGGTTCAACAGTCTTATTTGAATAATTTTCACTATAACACAGTTATTGACATAAATTTCAATTTTATTTATCAGTTTAAAATCGAATCATATGTCAATTGATCAAATTGTTGAATCAGGAATTAAGGGTTGAATCAGAAATTGAGGTTTGATTAGTTTGGTTTTTAAAATATTGATTTTTATGGGTATTTTTTTAATATACATTATCTAAAATTAAATTATTGTTCAGTTCGATTTACCGTATAAGAAACGTAATAGACTATCCGGTTATTAATTTTATTTATTATTTTTAACAATTATTTTTTAAAACACTAATATATACATATATATTCATCGTTTATAAAGTGAGTTTGTTGATTTAAAAAAGTAAAAGTTGAGTCCCTTTTTCAAATTTTGCTGAATTATTATAGAAGGGGTGAGTTATTTCAGAGAAAAAGTGGCAAAAGAAGCTTTAATTTTTTTCTAATTTATTTTATATTATCTGCTAAAATGGGACAAATTTAATGGCCCTTTTTCTTTTATTTTATACAGAATAGTACAAAAGACTTTAGTTGGGTATAAGTATATGGTGATAATTTATTATAAAAAAATGAAGTGAAAAAAATTTCAGTGTCAACTACATCATTCATGGAGATTTGGCTTTTAAAATTTGTGAGTTTAAGTCCACTACAATTAGGGTTCCATTTTAATATTTGTTGAACTCAATTGGGGTTTTGATTTTTATTTGACATTATGAAAAGCATGTATGATGATGTATGATGGGGAAGGCAGAAATATTTTTGAAGGTACACATATGTTAATAACATAAATTTTTAAATGGTGGACGCCATTAATAAAATAGATAATTAATCGAAGAAAATTCGAATTTTAGAATGGGTGAAGAAAGAAAATCAATTGGAGTTTGAATACAGACATTTTGAAAATAATAGGAGCATGACATCCCCAAATCCATTTCCTCATAAATTGTTTGTTTGAAGGAACAAAAGTGCACTACTTTATTTATGGCTTTTAGGAAAAAGAAAGTTAATTGTGATTTCTAAAACATGAGGAATTAGGTTAGGTTTGAATAAAAATAAGCTTTTTATGATTGTTGAAGTTCAATTTAATTTAATTTTAGTGTAAAATTTTGTATTCAAATTTGACAATACTCTCTTCATCTGAGGTTCAAAAGTGTAGGATTACTTTTTAATCCATGCCCTTCATGTCTCATTGAATGCATCTCTGTTGATGGAAAAACATATTATTTGTGTTGTTTAGACACTATGATTGACTGTTATTGTAATAAGTATTCGTTTGTTACAATATTAGGGTTTTTTCTAAAATGAAATAATGATAATCCATTTTTGATTTTATTATCAACTACTTTTATCACTATAACCTAATTTAATGTTTTCTTGTATAAACGAGGGCAAAAGAACCTGCACCTGTCTTGCGCCATGGCATAGTCCAAGTGCTTGTGCCCTCGACAGTGGAAATTCACCATCTGAGGCAGCAAATCGGAAGGATGTATGGGAGCTATGCTGAGACGAACCCTGGTTATACCAAACTCATCGATGATGCAACGGCTTGCAACGCTAGAGTGACGGTGTTGGCCATGATATTAAATGTCCTCAAGTGTTTGATGGCCTTAAAAGTTTGGTCGATGTATGTTGATTAAGACATTCCCTCGGATTCACGGCATCAACTTCGGTCTTCCTCATGTCGTGGCTGTTGCAATGAAAGTCGATGGTATCGAACACGTAGGAGGCAACATGTCGGAGTGTGTCCCAAAGGAAGACGCCGGTTTTATTATGGTTTGTAGTTAGTTGAAGAAGATAAAGATGACAAGCTAGAGTTTGTGAGATTGATGTTGAACATGTTTATGATGGCACATACAATACTAACATGTTTATTTGGGTTGATCACAGTTATGGGCCTGGTGGGCTTAGGCCCTTTGCTTGTAACGGACTCGAACGAAATTCCAATCAATAATAAAGAATATAAATTTATACTCTTAACGTTTAACCCTCCCAACTTAATTTAATTTTAATTAAATTATTAAAAATAAATAATTAAAATTTTGAAAAAAAAATAAAAACAACAGCGTTGAAATTGTGGGAATTTATAAAGTATTATGAAATTTTAAAAAGATAAATATATTTGCAAGATTAAATCAAATCTTTTTCACCTACAGGGTTGGTTTAAGTGATAAGCAACTTAATATCGCTTAAACAAGATCTCAGGTTTGAGTCCTTATGTATGAGAAAATCTATGTTGGAAGGCTCACTCACCAAAACCACGTGTGCGACATGGGTTGATTCGGATTAGTCAAGACGTTTAACTTTAAATTTATTTACTTCAAATTATATCATTATATTATAGTGCGTTTTTTTATCTTTAACAGACATGGAATAATTATTAATTTGACTTTTATCAAGCAATTTTTATATTTCAAACTTTGATGTGATATGCTTTTTAACTATTTGTCGTAATTGATTTTCGACGGGAAGACTGTTGCGTATTGTGAGTACTAATAAGTTATACGCAAATGATTGGAAGGTATACACAATCGCAATAAGTAATAAAGTGATGAGTGAATATCGTCTCCACAAGGATTGGTGGAAATTATGAGTTTGACCACAACACCAAACTAATTTATCTAAGTATAGAAATGATATATACACTGATGATGCTTCGGCAATGGAAATGTGAGAGTGAATGAAATGATGGTGAGGGAGTGTGATTGAGTGAATAATGTCGTGGAAAAAGAGTAATTTATAATGATGAATATGATGAAAATGCCAAGGCAATGTAAAATGGTAAAAATAGAAAATAAATTGAATAGCTTGATAATCCTCACACGCGAAACTACTTTGGGAATGAATGGTGGGGAGTCACTTAAGGAGCTGAAAACTTATCTTTCTAGCTGATTTAGTCTTCTATTGCTTTACTTGTTCGACTGAGTTTGCTAAAAGTGTTCTCGCTATCTCTAGTCATAAGAACCTAACAGAATAGAATGACACGGTATCTCTTCTCAATCTCAACTATGACAGCCTACACTATTGATGACGCACTAACCCTCTTAGTAGTTGAAATCCTAGTTTAGTCTTTCTCAAGTACTAAAGGATTAGACTATAGTGATTAACTATACCCCATTGCTTATGTTAATCTTACTTAAGTTTCTCTCAAACATTTAAAAATTAATGTAACAACCCGAAAAAAAATTATAATATAATCATTTGGGTGAAATTTGAGGCTCAAATTAAAAATTTCCAGAACAAATAGGCTATTTTAGAAGTTGAATGAAATTCAGGGACTAAGCCCTGAATTTCACCATTTTGTGACGGCAGACATTTCTTCATATATGCGTGAATTTGGTTTCTGTTTGAGAAATCAAAAACAAATTTCACAGAACTTCCTCCCCGCATACCTTCCTTCCAAGGTCGATTCCGTCACCGTCCGACCGTTCTAGCTTACACTACCACTACCGTTTGGTTCATCGTCGAACGGTGAAAAAAACCCTGCAAAACTCTCATCGTAAAACGTTGTCTAACGCCGTGAATTTCGATTCAAAGTTTCAAAGTTTTTTAACACTACCGCCGTGAAAATCGTCGATTCATCGTCGATCGTTGCTCAATTTTCGACACCTCCGGCACCATCGTGTTCCTTGTGTCATTTCAAGTCCACCGATGCCCTTCTTGTCTCCGTCGTTGCTAGCGCGTGAGGGAGGTGAGGAAGTTAAAGTTTCCTACGTTTTAAAATCGAGCTCTCCACCGTTTAAAATTTTGAACTGAGCTTAGCAAGTGTCTCAAAATCCTTTAAAATAATTTTAAAATTTTTTTCTGTAACTTTTACAACGCCGTAGGATGTCTCACGTGCCCCCACGTGCCGCCCCTGCGTATGGGGGAGGTTCACCAAACGGTGGACAGTTTAATGGGTTGTCCGACCCGTTGACCCGACCTGCTGACCCAATCGACCCGCTAACCAGACCCGCTGACCGATCCGACTTGACCCGATCTGACCCGTTGACCAACCGTTGACTGACCATTGACCTGTTGACCGTTGATCGACCGTAGACCGTTGACTTTGACAAAAAAATTCAAAATTTTTGAAAAATCATATTTTATGTTTTTCGACGTCCTGAGCCTGATTCCGAAGCCTGTTTTGCCAAATTCAAACCCGAAAGTCTCTGAATTGACCCGTAAACTTGAAAAAAATGTATATTTATCTAAGTATTTTAATTCAGTTAATTGTACTGAATGGTCAAGGACTAATTATTGTTATGACATGTTAAAGGTACTCGGGGATCTCCTGACTATATCATTGCTCGACCCGATTCCTCCTGATCTGCCCGTCCTCGAGAGGTCGTGAATACTCGTATAGTTATGTAACCCTGTTAGTTATTCTTTTTAGAATATTATTCCGAATATAACCCTTTTCTGATATGGCTTAGGTTCCCGTTCAGTCGAAGAGTCTAGTGAAGATGGTGCTCGATAGATCTTCCTGACTGACCCTATTATCGAGGTGTGTTCCTTGTGTGCATTATAAATATTTTAAATATCTGTTTGAAATCTCATATGCACATGATTGTTTTCTCTGTTTTGAAATATAATGTTTGATCTGATTTGACTACTGTATGATTTACCTGATTCCAGATTTACTGAAATGTAAAGCATGATTGCCCGACTTATGATTTATAGTTACTAGTTTACTAAACTGATGATTTGTCTGAACTCTGAATTACTGTTACTACTGGTTATCGTCTGAAAAATGTTTTCTTCAGGGTATTTTGGATTCTGGTATGAAGAATTTGGCAGGTTTAGTCACTGTTGGTAATTCCCCGAATAAGTTCAGCACCGAATGGTAATTCCTTATGGACCTAAGGCGACCCTTGGGTAGGCTCTGCAGCCCTGAGACTTTCTTGGATAAGCCTTTGTGGCCCCGGGAATTGTCTTGGGTAGGCTCGCAGGCCCCAAGGTACTCCCTTAGGTTGTGCAGTTCTGGGGAACTGCACATGGCGTTCAATTGGAGGACGATGCAGAGTTTTTAAATAAAAAACTCCTATGATGTTTTAATGATTGTAATATGTACTGGTTTTAAAGATCATAACTGTATTTTTTTATTTTTGTACTGTTGGGACACACTGAACCTCTAGCTCACTTTTCAAATTATTTTACCCCCTTTCAGATACTCTTGGATAGACACTCGGTATCAGGCACTTGGAAGATTGGTACATTTAGTTCAGATCATTTTGTTGTAATATTCTGCCTTCCGAACTGCTTTTAATTATGGTGACATGTGCCTTATTTTTGAAGTATATATCGTTTTATAATGTTCACTGCTTTCACTACTGATATTTGATTTACGATGCTCCGGATTTATTTCATGTTTTATTTTATCGAGTCGGTTTTAGTTTTATATTCAAGAGTTGGGTTTTATCATTATTTATTATACTTTTATAAAGGTCATTTGAAATATGATTTATATTAACGAATAACGTTTTTGGGAAATATTTTTAAGAATCTTTAATGTAATATGCTAGACTTAGTCAAAACGCATAGGCCGAGTCTATGGGGTTACAATTAAAGACTATATTTCTTTCGAACATCTAGTCTTCATCAAAGAAATTGACACTCTCATGCCTCTTACAATCTTAGAAGATGAAGCACACATAAACAAAACAAGTAAAAACAAAAGATAAACAATCATCAACCATTAAAATAAAGTTTCAAACATCTATCGAATGAGCCTCACCAAATATAGCTTAATTCATTGTGGGTTCGAACAAACCATAGAGTATACCCAATCGTTCATTTGACTTTAAAACCCAAATAAAGTTTCAAGCTTTAACAATGGAGTAAAGGTTGAAGATGAAAGCATTAGGTGTGCACGGCCGACTCTTCCCTCAAACCATCATGAACAACTATAGTGTAAGCTCCTTTTAGATACTACACCACTCCCTCGAGCTTCACCAATGGAGGAACACCAATAAAAAATGGACAAAGAAGAACGTTAATGAAGGTAGAGAAAATGGAGAAGATGATGATGGATTTTTTCCAAGCTCTCTCTTTTTTTATCTTGTGTTGTGTCATTTTAAATAAAAAATATCTAAGGGTATTCTTAGGAATTTTGCACTCAAAATACCCATAATACCCCTAAATTCATTCCTTGTGCATGAAGTTTATCTCTACAGGTGGCAATAGACCCCATTCAGACAGTTATTAAAAGTAAACATGTGCTTTGACAACTGTCCTCTTGTGAAAATATCTCTTTCTCTTTTTCTACGCCAGAAATGCCAAGGCATTGCAGTCTGCTTCAGCAGCATGTGATGCCACGTCATTCTTCTCAGCTCACCCTATGCTCATTATTTCCTGCAGGTCGCTAACCAACCTCACCTTTCCCATTATATAACAACTTAACAAAGTAGAAATAACACAACCACCACAAATACAAGTACATGCAGCTATATGAATCTAAAATGACCTATATTAACCCTTATACAAACAATAACTTAAGTGAAAAAGGCCTTAAAAGTAGCATTTTTACGGAGTTATCACACCCCCAAACTTAAGCTATTGCTTGTTCCTAAGTAATGAATAACAATTAACACAACAAAAATGTCATGACAATTTTTAACAATAAGACAATCAAGACAAAAATAGAATTTCAACCCTCAGAAAAGTTGGCTTCAACATGCTAGACATATCAAGAAATCAAGTACTTTTTCTTAGGTCAAGATTTTTTGTGGTTGTGTGTGTGCGTGGTTGTATACTTGTATCCAATCTATACTTAACAAATTTAGGCAATTTCCAATTCAGTTCCCTAGTTTTGCCACAACATTTACTCATTCATTAAGCACATTTATACTCCATTTTTACTTAATACACATATTTTTTACGCTGCTACGAGGAGAGTTAGCCCATCACAACTATGGTCTACACTTACCGTGGCTACCATTTATTGAAATGTGGTATCTAGGCAATTGCCTCAATAGTGCAAACACACATAGTCATCACGTGACTACTTTTATTCACTCGTATGCGCGTGGCTACCATTTATTAAAGAGAGTTGCAGGCAATGCCACGACAAAGAGGAGTGTCCCTCTACAGCTATGCCAAAACATTTATTCATGATTAAACAAAATTCAGACATAAGAGAGTTCTTTAAACATTGATTTATCATTTAAGCACAATACCAAATTTTAATGTCAAGGCTAACCAGAGTTCTTTCATAAAAACTTCCTAGATTCTTAAGTATAGAGAACATACAAATCGTATATGAATAATTCACAAAACATCAAGTTTTAGAGTCAGTTCTATCATTCTCAATAGTCATTTACATTTACATGTTCAATAAAGAACACTACCTCCCTCAAACGTGAGAAAAACATTGCCCTCAATGCTTAAGAGAACTAAGTAATTAATAAAACTAAATGCAATGTCATGCTATGCAAAAATGAATGCAAAATGAGGTCCTCGATTTCTATGGTGGTGGCGGTGTTACGGTAGAGGTACCTGTATTTCCACGCCTGGAGTGCTTTCTTTGTGGGGTAGGACTGGGTTTTGGAGATGTTGAGTAGTAGTAGGTAATAGAGGTGTTGACGCACCCTGCTGAAGTCTTGATACAACTATAGATTCTACACATAGATAGAGGCTCTAGTACTTCATCTGGATTGGGTTGCATGGGATGGCTCATCAGGAACAATATGAGATGGGGGATAGGCTGTGAGGTATGGCACAGGCTCATTATCAGCAGGATTGGCGTTATCAGGCTCAGAAGTTTCCTCGATATTGTCAAATGTCGGTAGAATTTCATCCGGGAAACCCAAGAAATTCTATTCCATATGAAGGATCATATCTTGAAAGATTGACTCCACAACAATATCCCTATGCTTGGCGTAGCCAAAGAAATTCTTTATATCACCCGTGAGAGCATTCAAGTGAGTCATTATTTGTTGGATAGATTCGTCGAGGGCAATTAGTCTTGCCTTGACATCATAAGGTTTATCTTCCTCGGACTCCTCAGTATTGGCTGCCTTGGATTTGGGGTTAACCAATCCCAACAGAATAGGCAGTTGTGCTCTTGTGATGCCCGACACTCCAATTGTTTTTGTCAAAACCGTTTTCAATCACCTTCTTTTTCCGGTACAATGATGTGATAATATAAAAGAATACCAACACGCTAGATTTCTTTCCTAAACATTCATGAACTTGCTCAACAATTATTCAACCAACATCAGTTGAATGAGTAACCATAATAGAGTGTAATAACATTAGATATGGAAGGGTTACCTTCGTGTTTTGGATAGTAGGAATTAACTTGTGTTTCATGAAGTGGTTCCATAATTTCACGTGAGGTTGGAGACGCTCCCGATTGACATAAAAATAGCTAGCTTGACGACCATTCCATTCGATGTTAGGAAAACACAAATATTCGAGTATACCATCGTATGTCGTACTATCGACTACATTTTCAAAATCCACATGTTGATCGACTACGTCCTGCAAGTGGAAATAACGGTTAATCGTCGACGGTGTAAAATGAATATAGTGACCCCTAACAAAAACAACATGTTGGTTTGGTTTTGAGATGTTCGCATAAAACTCCTTAACTAACGAGGCATTGATGAAGCCAGGATGTCGCGTAAACTTTTTCCATTTGTGTGGTTCGACAATGTACATGACATCCAGCCCAAAAATGTCATCTTACTCCTCGGTGAAAATAAACCCTAACTCTAAAAAGAGTTTTCGATTTTTAAAATTTTAGAATCGCTCATTTGTAGCTTCATCCACGAACTATTGAGAAATAGTTGTTTCAGTTATTGAGGGTCATGTTCGTACCATTTTTTTATCGGTTTGGAAGAAAAAAGAACAAAAAGTTGAGAGCTTTGTTTGCAACAATGGCGTCGATGTAGAGGGAATGTGAGAAGAAAAAGATGAAAAGTTAAAAGAAATAGTGAAAGAGATAGAATGAGTGGACGAGGTGAAATGGGTAGGTGAAAAAGTAAACTGTAAACATTAAATGAGGGGTAAAAGGACAGTTCAAAAAATGGAAATAAAATAAAATAGAGTAATAAAGTGTAAAAAGAATATTTTCCTCCTTAATTTTGTCTTTTCTTCCCTTGGTAACCGCTCCATCATATAGGTATGAGCTCTGGTGGGTTCCTACAGTACAAAACAATTTATAAATATCCATGAATAATAAAAATAAAAATAAGAAAAATAAAAATAAATTCTTTAATTATTTACAAATAGCAAAATATAATGCTTTGGCATTGAAATTTGGTTCACGGGACATGCATACTCAAACGTCGTGCAGGTAAAGCACCGACTTGTCACGCAAAGGTGGAGCTCCATTGTAAACTATCAAGCGCTGACTGTTGACTTTAAAGATCATCCCTTCGTCTATATTTTTATATCAAATGCTCCATGAGGGTGGATGTCATGCATCTCAAATGTCCTTACCATCTAGATTTGAACTTTCCAAGGAAGAGTTTAAGCCTTGAATTATAAAGTAATACTTGTTGGCCAACATAAAAATGTCGTGGCATCAGTTTTTGGTCATGCCACTTTTTGGTATTTTCTTTGTATAACTTGGAATTCTCATATGCTTGTGCCCTGAACTCTTCCATATCATTAAGCTCAAGTAGTATTTTCTCCCCAACTAATTGAGTATCAAAATTTAGCCTCTTAATGACCCAATACACCTTGTGTTCCAGCTCAATAGGGAGGTGGCAGGCCTTCCCATACACTAATTTGAAGGGTGATTGCCTAGAGGAGTCTTAAAAGCTGATCTATATGCCCAGAGTGCCTCATCTAACTTTGGTGACCAATCCTTTCGCCTCGGATTCACCACTTTTTCTAAGATTAGCTTTATCTCGCGGTTAGATATTTTAGCTTGGCTATTCGTTTGTGGAATGTATGTCGTGGCAATCTTGTGACGAAATCCATATCTCCTCAATGCCTTGTTAATCAACTTGTTATCAAAGTGGATTCCATCATCGTTAATGATGTCTCCAGGCACTCTAAACCGTGTAAATATATTCTTGTGTAAAAACTTAAGCACGATTTTGGGATCATTCTTTGATGTTGCAATTGCCTCCACCCACTTGGATATATAATCCATAGCAAGCAATATGTACAAATCACCACAAGAAGATGAGAATGGTCCCATGAAGTCAATGCCCTAAACATCAAACAACTCAATTTCCAGAATGCCTTGCAATGGCATTTTATGTCGCCTGGATATGTTCCCAGTGTGTTGGCATCGATCACAGGACTTATAAAATGCATGAGCATCTTTGAACAATGTTGGCCAATAAAATCCTGATTGCAGAACCTTAGCAATAGTTTTCGCTCCTCCAAAATTACCTCCACTTGGGGCCGTATGACAATGGTATAAGATGTCTTGTTATTCCTCTTCAGGTACACATCGTCTAATAATTTGGTCTGCTCAATGCTTGAATAAATATGGCTCATCCAAAAAGTAGAACCTTGCATCGTGCTTGAACTTTTTCTTACCCTGGCTGTTTAGTTCAAAAGGCATTATACCACTAATAAGAAAATTAACAATTGCAGTGTACCATGGGATTACCGTGGCATATAAGATTTTCTCATCAGGGAATTTCTTCTTGAATATTTACAATGTCATGGCTTTTAGAACTGCTTTATAGCCTAGATAAATGTTTGACAACTTGATTCTCAGTACCCTTTCTATCTACAACCTCTAAGTCAAATTCTTGCAAAAGTAAGATCACCTAATAAGTCTAGGCTTAACATCTTTTTTGTTCACTAAGTATTTTATAGTTGAGTGATCACTGTGAAAAATAATCTTATTGCCTATTAGGTATGGTCTAAACTTATAAAATGCAAATATCACGACAAGTAATTCATTCTTGATGGTTGTGTAATTCATTTTTGCCTCATTCAAGGTACGACTAGAGGAAATAATCATAGGCAAAGTATTATCACTACCCAAGTAAACATATTTAAGATGCCCTGGCAAAGGCTTTAGCTCTAGGGTAGGTGTATGCAATAATGATGGCTTAGGAGGAATAAATTCATCAAAATCAAGGGGTTTAAAGTGCATACATGATCTAGCAAGTAGTAAGCTAGATTGCTCCACCCCAGCTGGTAATTTTTCATGCTCTTCTATGCTTTCATCATCAATAGACCATTTATAGTCTGCTAGCTGAATGAAATTATTTTGAAAAAATTGTTCTGTTTCTTCTTCAATGAAGGAGTTCATTTCAAAAATGCCTTGCTATTCTTAAGAATCATCAACATACTTGAGAGTATAAAAAACATTAAAAGTCACACAATGGTTGGCAACTCTCATGGTAAGTTCACCTTTTTCACAATTAATCAGAATACGACCAGTGGATAGGAAAGACCTACCCAAGATTATGGGCGCCTTGACATAAACTTCAAAATCAAGGATAAGGAAGTCGACTGGGAATAAAAATTTATCCACCTTCAATATGACATATTTAACTCTCCCTTCAGGTCTAACATGGTATCGGTCGACAAGTTGTAAAATCACATAGGTGGGTATGGCATTTCCCATACCAAGCTTCAAGAATATATATTTTTGCATTAAGTTCATATTTGAACCAAGGTCACATAGTGCATTTCTAACGAAATTAGCTCATATAGAACATGGAATAATAAAGCTGCCAATATGATTTTGCTTTGGTGGTAACTTGCTCAATGCGGAATAATAATCTTTTGCCGTGGCAACTGTCTCATACTTCTCAACTTTCTTCTTCTTGGTGCAAATTTCCTTAAGAAATTTGGCATAAGTCGACATTTGTTCAATGGCTTCCAAGAGAGGTACATTAATGTGGAGCTGATCAAGAATGTCCATAAACTTTTTTAACTGAACTTTATGATTGTGCTTATTGAATCTTTGCGGGAAGGGCGATGGGGTCTAACTTCTTCAACTACGGGAGTAGGAATTGCTTTTACCTTGGCGTTGGAATTTAGTGCTTCGACAGGTTCACTTGCAACATCCTCAATACCGGGTTAGTGACTAAATTGTTAAACTTTAGAATTTGGTGATTAAAGTAGAATAATTGAATTGTTCAATGACTTATATGAGAAATGTTTTGTAGGATTGAATTACAAAAAAAGAGGAATAGAAGGACAAATTAGTCATTTAGTAAAAGAAATAATTAAATTATGTTATGGTTATATATTAACCCACGTGGAATGAAAGGGAGACCAAGTGAGTTTCCAGAGTTCTCTCCTTCTTCTTCATTCTTTATACGTGAAGGCCCCAAAACAAATATGAGTTTATTGTTAGTTGATAATTAGTTGAAATTCAAGTTTGGTTTTGATAATTAGGTGATACTTAAGCTTAAGGAAAGCTTAATTTGTCTTAAAATAATAAGATGAAGAGAATGAAAAGGATTAAAGATGAGGGGTTCTTAAATTAAATCTTGATAGAGAGGTAGTAATTAGATTTCAAGACTAAATTTGACCTGTCATTAGTGAAATTAAGGAGTATGAAGTGTTAGAATTGGATTTAGAACATGTTGAAAATTGAGTATAATTCTTGAATTTCATGTATAATATATGATTTTGAGGTTAAAGATGTGATAAATGAGTATTAATGGGTTTAAGTATGTGAGTTAAGAATATGAAAGGGGATAAAACATGAAGTGTTTGAGCTGAAATGAAGTAAGTTTCAGGCTTAAAAGTGATTTCTGGGCTAGGGGTATCGATACCTATTCATCAGGTACCGATACTTCAAGAGTAAAAATTAAGGAAGACATTCATAAGGTATCGATACCTGAAGAACAATATCAGTACCAAGGGTATCAATACCTTAAGGATGGTATCGATACCATCTTTGAAACAAAAAATTACAGAATGCAATATGGGTATCGATACCTAGGCATGGTACCGATACCACAGTTAAGGGATGTATCGATACCCTATAGGGGTACCGATACTACTTTAAATAGAAAAGAAAATTTTGCATTTCCTTCAGTTTAAGAAATGAAAGATTAAAGTATGCCATTTGGAATACTAATATATATCAATGTATGATTATGTAGATATTGAACGTAACCCTATTCTGGAACAATCGAAGAATTAGAAATGGTTGAGAGAAAGATAACAACAAAACCCTATTCCCATATGCAATGGGGTAAGGGGAGGTAGGGTAGTAGGCTGCCCCCAACACCAGGTTGAGAGTAGCTTCCGTGGAAGACCTCCGACAGTCAGAAAATTTAAAATAAAGATAAAATGCAATGTATGTATAAATAAATAAATAGATAAATACATAGTTGAACAATCTTCATATGCAGTCTTCATATGCTCGTCTGTAATGGGAAGTAATCCCTGCAAATAAATACCTGCGTAATAATCTCTGCATATAGACAGAAACGTAAGACCCGACTAAATTTAAAAAGAGGAAACATGATGTGAAGGATACACGATTGAGAGAAAGAGAAGTTCTAAAATTGATTCGAATCAAGTGAGGCTCGGGTGAGTGCATACTATAGATATAGTTCAATGGAAATAAGACTTGTGATAAGTCTATTTCCTATATTTGATTTTATGATTTCATTTTCTTATACATGCATATGTTATGGTTATAATAAGTATTTGAATAACTTTTAAATGCTTTAACATAATATAATATGAACGTATGCAATTATAAGAGAACAAATCCAGTATGTGTAATAAGAAAAGTGATCATATGTGTGTATGTACAGTGAATGATGTGTTTATATGAGAAGTGATTAAAGAGATATGAAAATGAGAAATGTATTCATATTTAAGCCTATGTTATATTATATGAAAGTTGTAGTTATAATTTGCATGCCAAGAGTCGATGGATTATAAGTGGTCCTTCGGGACATAGTGGTCATTCGAGATAAATTTTCAGTGCCCCTAGTGGGAATTTATTCGAGATGTGGTGACAATATTTGTGCACAACCTCAGTGTACTCAAGTGCCTCCTGTTCTCAATAATGTACATGGGCATTTAAAGATAAATTGAATGTAAACTCTTATAATAAGTTAAGTTTTATATGTGTATACTATAATAGTATATGTTATAGTTAGTAGATATATGTAAATTGTAATATTATGATTGATTGATAGTAGTACATGTTTCGTAAATTCGTGGTTACATATTATATTATGCCTATGTCTTTGACTTAGTGTGTAAGTGGTTTACACGTAGGTACCAAAAAGCAGGAGGACCAGAATTAGAAGTTACAGAGACATCATACCTCTACTGGTAGATCAGATCAGAAGTAATTTGTAAAGTATGTATTTTGTGGTATTAAATGTGTTGACATGTAAACAAGTTGTGAATTATACATAGTTTGATCAGTTTTGTAATATTTTGGTTTAACTTAAATAAATTAATGAATTTTATTTAATGAAAATTTAGATTTTCATGATTTTTATAAGAGTCAAATTTTGAAAAGTCAAATGTGACACCTCAGATTCGTATCCGGGTCAGGTACGGGTTAGGGGTGTTACATTTAATGGTATCAGAGCCATGGTTTAGCCGGTTCTAGGCGTAAACCTAAGTTTATAATGATTTTTAAATGTATATATGCCAACAAAAAAATAGTGAGAACTTATGATCTGATAAAATATTGAATATGTTGTTTTGCTAATAGAACAATATTATTATGTCTTAATAGATGTCCGGACATGATAGTTCTCAAAGTGAAGCGGGAGACGATAGGTACGCTGAGAGTAGTAATTCATCTACCCTGGCTAGGCAAGGTGAAGAACATACATCTTCCGGAGTGTATGTGAGTGATCAAGATGTTTTCTTCCAGACGTTGGATGCGGTATTTGTGCGTTTCCAACCTCTTGTCTCTTCAACTCAGAGAATAAATGTTGCGAAGGACTTGAAGGGTTTAAAAGCTCCATAATTTAGGGGTAAAGTCGAAGAAGGTCCTGTTGCTGCAGACCTGTGGCTCAATGATGTGAAAATCATGCTAGAGGGATTTCATTGTTCTGATTCAGAGAAGGTGGATGGAGTGATTTTCTTGCTTAGAGGGCAAGCAAGGATTTGGTGGACCAATGTTACACTGAGAATGAATAGTGATCAGATAACTTGGTCATTATTTTTAGAAGAATTCAAGTATAAGTATATAGGAGATAGTTCATCCGACAGATGAAGCAAGAGTTCATGAATTTGAAGAAATGGAACCGTACAGTATATGAATATGAGTGTGAGTTCAACAAATTAAGCTGCTTTGTTGTCGAGCTTATTTTGACATAAAAGGATGCTTGTGAATGGTTCGTGGAAGGTCTGCATCCAAGATTAAAAGAAATGTTGATTGTGTTGAACCTGTATTCATTTCAAGAGGCGGTAAACCATGCCAAAGCTCTGGAAAGAGCTCAGAACGAGAGGTTTAGAGATCCAAGAGCTCAGACATCTAAATGAATGGGTGCTTCTTCGAGTTCTACACCATCGAAAAGGGGAAGAGATGCTGGTTTTTGACCCCAGGCTAGATCAGAGTCAGTGGCATCCTCCACTAGAGGATCAAATCTGAAGAGAGCCAGATAAACTCAGTTAGTGGGATCTGGAGCTGGGATATCTAACTAGGGCCAAGTCAGACAATGTCCATATTGTGGAAAGAATCATTCAAGGATATGCAGAATGATTTTTGGAACTTGTTTCAAATGTGGGGACACCATGTATTTTATTTGAGATTGTCCCATAATAGCTGGTGAGTTTGCGCAGCCAGAAAGGTCTACTTCTACGACTCAGAGGGAAAGAGGTAGAGGTAGAGGAAGAAGTCAGCCAGAGTCCTCTGCTCAATAGGAGATACGCTCAACTGCTCGAGTGTATAACCTCAAGACCAATGAGGATCGAGAAGACCCAGAGATAATAGTAGGTATCTTTCAATTGTATGAAAAGAGTGTTTTGGTACTGATTGATTCGGGTTCTACCTATTCTTACATTAATAGTAAGCTAGTGAGGGAATTGAACATTCAGTTAGAAGTTACTATCAATGAAGTAATAGTAACGAATCCCTTAGGGCACAGTGCTCAGGTAAATAAAGTGTGTCGAGGTTGTCCAATATGGATTCAGGGAATTGAATTCACTGATAATCTGATGGAATTACCTTTTGACGAATTCGAAGTGATAATGGGAATGGATTGGTTATATCGATACCAAGTGTATCACCTTGGGAAGCTCTAGTTTTGTTTGTTAACAAGAAAGATGGTTAAATGCGTCTCTGCATCGACTATAGGCAACTTAACAAGGTGCCTATTAAGAATAAATATCCCCTCCCTAGAGTTGACGATTTGTTTGATCAGTTAAAAGGAGCTTCAGTATTCTCCAAGTTGCGGTCGGGATATCATCAATTGAAGATATAAGAGAATGATATTCCAAAGATGACATTTAGAATGAGGTATAGTCACTATGAGTTTATTGTGATGTCGTTTGGAGTTACAAATGCACCGACTGCTTTCATGGACCTGATGAACAGAATATTTCAACCCTATTTAGACCAATTCGTTGTGGTATTTATTGATGATATATTGGTGTATTCAAAGTTAGAAGAAGAGCATAGTACGTATTTGAATATAGTTTTACAGATTTTATGAGATAATAAGCTATATGCTATATTATCTAAATGTGAATTCTAGTTAAACGAAGTGACATTCCTTGGAGATGTAATTTTTACAGAAGTAATTCGAGTAGATCCCCAAAAGATTAAAGCCATTTTGGAGTGGGAAGTTCCAAATAATGTGTCAGAAGTTTAAAGTTTTTTAGGGTTAGCCGATTATTATCGAAGGTTCGTTAAAAACTTTTTGATGATAGTTTTACACCTAACTAATTTGTTAAAGAAAGAGGTAAAATTTGCTTGGACTCCTGAATGTCAAAAGAGTTTTAAAATGTTAAAGAATATTTTGACAGAAGCTCCAGTATTAGTTCAACCTGAGTTTGGTAAGAATTTCGTAGTTTATAGTGATGCGTCTCATAATGGCTTGGAATGTGTGTTGATGCAAGAAGGCAAGGTGGTGGCTTATGCTTTGAGAAAATTAAAACCGCATGAGAAGAATTATCCGACTCACGATTTGGAGATGGCCGCAGTAGTGTTCGCTCTTAAGATTTGGTGTCACTACTTGTATGGTGAACGTTTCTATTTGTATACTGATCATAAGAGTTTGAAGTATTTGATGACTCAGAAAGAATTGAATTTAAGACAAATAAGATGGGTGAGATTTCTAAAGGATTACGATGTGGTAATTGATTTTCATCCGAGAAAAGCAAATATGGTAGCGGATGCCTTAAGTTGAAAGACGTTTGTAACCTTGCGAGCTTTAGATGCCCGATTATCTTTAAGTGGAGATGGTGCAATATGTACAGAATTGACTCTCAAGCCATCATGGCTAGATCGAATTAAAGAATTGCAAGTAAAAGATGAAAAGTGTATGAAGAAGCTACAACAAGTAGAGAATGAGGAGATAAAAGATTTTGAGATCAAGTTTGATGGGAACTTGTATTACCGAGAAAGATTGGTGATTCCGGATGATGATGAGTTAAAGAAGGAGTTGATAATAGAAGCTCATTGTAGTCCATTGATGATGCATCCTGGAGGAAACAAAATGTATATGGACCTCAAGAGTTGATATTGGTGGCGTCGAATGAAGAGGAATATTACGGAATTCATATCCAAGTGTTTAACTTGCCACCAAATCAAAGCTGAGCATTTGGTTCCATCAGGACTGTTGCAACCAATGTATATTCCTCAGTGGAAATGGGAGAATGTGACAATGGATTTTGTGAGGGGTTGCCTTTAACTCTGAATAAAAGAGATTCAATCTGGATTATCATAGATAGATTGACTAAGTCAGCCCATTTCATTCCAGTACGAGCTGATTCTCTATGGACAAATATGCCAAATTGTATATCAGAGAGATTATATGATTACATGGTGTACCTGTTTCCATTATTTCTGATTGGGATCCTAGATTCCCATCGTGGTTTTAGAAGAATTTGCATGGAGTGTTGGGAACTCGATTGAACTTTAGCACAACGTTTCATCCTTAGACAGATGGACAATCTGAGCGGACTATCCAAATCCTGGAGGATATGTTGAGAGCTTGTGTTATTGAGTTCAAAGGATCTTGGGAAAGATATTTACCACTTGCTGAGTTCGCTTACAACAACAGTTACCAATCTAGTATCAAAATGGCTCCCTATGAAGTTCAAAGGATATGTCGTACGCGCTTAAATTGGTTTGAGCTTAAAGATAAAGAAGTCATCGGTCCAGAGTTGATTCAGGAAGTGGAACAAAAGGTCCAAGTAATTCAGAGTAATCTCAAAGCAGTAGTTGATAGATAGAAATCATATGCGGATCTGAAGAGGAAAGAAATAGAATATCAAATTGGAGACAAAGTGTTTGTAAAAGTATCTTCTTAGAAGAAGGTTTTGAGGTTTGGACGTAAGGGAAAACTTAGTCCCAGGTTCATTGGACCCTATGAGATTGTTAAGAGAGTGGGACCAATGGCATATCAATTAACTTTGCAACCTAAAATAGAGAAGATACACGATGTCTTTCATGTTTCAATGCTTCGGAAGTATAGATCGGATCCTTCTCATATCGTGACACCAGAAGAGATCGAGGTTCAACCGAACTTAACTTATGAGGAAGAACCAATTCAAATTTTAGCTCACGAGGTTAAGCAACTAAGTAACAAGACTATTCCATTAGTCAAAGTCTTGTGGAGGAATCACATGGTAGAGGAAGCAACGTGGGAACGTGAAGAGGACATGAGGAATTAATACTCCCATCTCTTTGTATAATGAAAATTCGAGGTCGAATTTTCTTAAAGGGGAGATTTGTAACATCTTCAATATCGGGTTAGTGACTAAATTGTTAAACTTTAGAATTTGGTGATTAAAGTAGAATAATTAAATAATTCAAGGACTTATATCAGAAATATTTTGTAGGATTGAATTACAGAGAAGGAGGAATAGAAGAATAAATTAGTCATTTAGTAAAGGAAATAATTAAATTATGTTATGGTTATATATTAACCCACGTAGAATGAAAGGGAGACCAAGTGAGTTTCCAGAGTTCTCTTCTTCTTCTTTCCTCATACGTGAAGGTCCCAAAACAAAGGTGAGTTTATTGTTAGTAGATAATTAGTTGAAATTCAAGTTTGGTTTTGATCATTAGGTGATACTTAAGCTTAAGGAAAACTTAATTTGTCTTAAAACAATAAGATGAAGAGAATAGAAAGGATTAAAGATGAGGGGTTCTTAAATGAAATCTTGATAGAGAGGTAGTAATTATATTTCAAGACTAAATTTGACATGTCATTAGTGGAATTAAGGAGTATTAAGTGTTAGAATTGGATTTAGAACATGTTGAAAATTGAGTATGATTCTTGAATTTCATGTAGAAGATAAGATTTTGAGGTGAAATATGTGATAAATGACTATTAATGGGTTTAAGTATGTGTATGTGAGTTAATAATATGAAAGGGGATGAAACATGAAGTGTTTAAGCTAAAATTAAGTAATTTTCGGGCTTAAAAAGTGATTTCTGGGCTAGGGGTATCGGTACCTATTCATTAGGTACCGATACTTCAAGAGTAAAAATTAAGAAATGCATTCATGAGGTATCGATACCTGAAGAACAGTATCGATACCAAGGGTATCGATACCTTAAGGATGGTATCGATACCATCTTTAAAACGAAAAATTACAGAATGTAATATGGGTATCGATACCTAGGCATGGTACCAATACCATAGTTAAGGGATATATCGATACCCTATAGGGGGTACCGATACTACTTTAAATAGAAAAGGAAATTTCGCCTTTCCTTTAGTTTAAGAAATAAAAGATTAGAGTATACCATTTGGAATACTAATATGTATCAATGTATGATTATGTAGATATTGAATGTAACACTGTTCCGAAACAATCGAAGAATTGGGGAACACAAGCTTCTGTAAGTTGATTGGATTTCAGAAACAGGTTTCCTACTAAAAAGGGATTTAATTACTAACTGATCTAAACATACATTCAGAGATTGGTGCTTCAGGGCCGTTTAGGTTTTCAGGTGTATCAGAAAGGTATTTAGGAGCCTTTACATTATAATAAATTAATATTTCAGATATAAACATAGCGATTCCATTATTTCGGCCATCAGGGGTATTTCAGACACTTTGATTTCTAATGGATTCTTAGCAACTTAATCCACTAAGGGTAAAACGATTACTTACAGTATTCAAGATTCATGTCAATTTATCATAATATCATGTTAACTCAAACTGAACAAATCCCAACACTACGATACCTGTCAACCACTCAAATTGGTGCACTTCAAGAATATTCACACTTTAATACTAACAATACTAGTCGAAATGATCATCTTCAGAACCATCGTTGAATGGATCTTGAGGAACAATATGCATTTCGATGGTATTTGTTTTATTTCTGTATTGTAACAGTCTCCAACATGACCGACGTACTTGAGTTGTATTCCACAATCTTTAGGGGCGATATAATACTTAGGTTTTCTCGATGTTTCCAGAATTATCAAATAACATTAACTTATTTCTAGGTCATAAGGGTATTCGGGTTATTTTTGTACTCGAGATTGCTTCGGTCATCTTAGAGTTCAAGGTATTCCAATCATTTTCTTTGATTCAGTCATATATATATAATTTCCAATAATTTAATCATCCGGTTATTATTCCAAAATAAAAAATTCTAAATCTTTTATCGCATCGGGAATTAAAATCGGTAAACAAGATGTTTCTAAACAAATTGAGTATTTATCAAGTGAATAAGTAGTATATTAGATTAAGGATGACTTTTTAGGGTTATTTTAGTTATTACTGATCTTGAGGAATAGGAACCGATTTTCAGGTCTTCCAAACCAGTCAGGAGTTCAGTCAGTGGATCTGTAGTTCTATCAGGTCAAGAATGAATTATTAAGTTAATTCCACTATTTGAGTCAATTCTGTTCTCTTTTTACTCCATAAGGGTATTTTATTAATTTCCTTTCTATCCATTTTCGACATCAAAACATTTAACGATAATATTCAAAGTTTAAGGATTCTAAGATTAATTCATTTGTCTATTAATCACTAATCTTAAATTTATTTCTTATCAATCTACCAATTTCTTTGTGCAATTCAATCGAGTCTTAACCAATTTATCACTTAAATCGTATTCAGTTCGAGTTCATTCATAACCAAATATTCATAATACACCAATCATAAACATCCATGCATTTATCTAGTATCAACATGTTCCATAAAGCATGCAAAGAGGTAGTAAATTATTATCTCGATTTTTGAACCACAACGGTTGATCATTTTAACTCCATTCGATCACTCTCGAACTTTAATTCCACGTCTAATAACGTCTCGGATACATGGCAAAACCAATTACATTAGAAACATAACTTAAACGTGAATATTCGTACTGAATCGGGAGATAAAATGTTGAAAACATCTTATCAAGTTCGAATTTGGAAAAAATGAACTTCAGATTCAGACTCAGAACGTCGTAAAACATAAAATATGACTTTTTGGAAATTTCGACTTTTTGGTGAAAGTCAATGGTCAACGATGAAAGTCAAAGTCACCTCTGATCAAAGTCAATGAGTTGACTCTATTTGAGTTGACTCAACTAGGTTGACTCAGTCGGGTCAAATAAACCCAATTCAGACCGGGTTGGGTCGGTTCGATTAACCTGGATCGTTCTAGAAGGGAGCAAGGCTGGGGAAGAAGCCCCAAGCGCACACGGCAGCACGTGACAACGGTGACAGGTTGGGTCATTTGGCCGAACACTTCAATAACTTCAACAAACCAAGATTAATCAGCAATAGTCCAATTTCAGCCCAAAATAATTCAAATCAACTCGATAAAACATTAAAAACCTTACCTAACCGATGATCAACAATGGAGCAACGATGGGCGACAGTCTCGATATAGTTTCGATCGCACGATGATGAGGAATCTAACGATATAGGCGGTGAGGCAAGAGAATGGCTAGAACGATGGCAATCGAAGGAAAACTGAGCGACGGGGAAAGGTTTTCGGTGAACTTCTATGGCTTTATTCACGACGATAGGCGACGCTACCCGGTAAGGGGATAGAAGGGTTTTAGTCACAGAAGGTTGTCGGTCACACTAGTTGTGACGACACATACTGACGACGACTAGAACGGAATGGATCGAGGAATGTCGACGGGGTTAGGAGAAAATTAGGGATGGTTCGGATTCAAGTTGTGGGGGTTGTAAAAAATGGGTTATCACCCATTACATAAAATAAAATTTTATTGCATCCTATCAACAACAGTGGCCTAGCCCGAATGGTAAGGGCAAGGTCGGCCATGCGAGAAGTCAGGGGATTAACACCACTCAACCACACACTTTCTGATTTTTAAATTTTCTATTGACTAGAAAAATGGGAAAATTTAGAGTTAAGTCCCTAAATTTCCCAACCTTACGAGGTTGACCTAGTTTTTTTTTTCAAAATTACCCATTTTAGTCCTTTAATTAAATAAAATAAATTAAATGTATTTTATATAAAATTTAGGGTCTGACAATGATTAAGTGAATAATTTCATGGAAAAAGAATAACTTATAATGATGAATATGATGAAAATACGAAGGCAATGTAAAATGGTAAAAATAGCAAATAAATGGAATAGCCTGATAATCCTCACATGCAAAACTACTTCGGGAATGAATGGTGAGGAGTCACTTAAGGAGCTGAAAACTTATATTTCTATCTGATTTAGTCTTCTAATGCTTTACTTCTTTGATGGAGTTTGCTAAAAGTGTTCTCGTTATCTCTAGTCATAAGAACCTAACAGAACATAATGCCACGGTATCTCCTCCCAGTCTCAACTATGACAGCCTACATTATTGATGACGCACTACCCCTCTTAGTCATTGAAATCCTAGCTTAGTCTCTCTCAATTACTAAGGGATTATGCTATAGTGATTAAATATACCCTATTGCTTATATTAATCTTACTTAAGTTTCTCTTGAACATTTAAGAATTAATGACTAGATTTCTCTCGAACATCTAGTATTCATCTAATAAATGGACACTCTCATGCCTCCTACAATCTTAGAAGTTGAAGCACACATAAACAAAACAAGTAAAAACAAAAGATAAACATTCATCAACCATTAAAATAAAGTTTCAAGTATCCATCGAATGAACCCCACCAAATATAGCTTAGTTCATTGTGGGGTTGGAACAAACCATAGAGTATACCCAATCATTCATTTGACCTTACAACCCAAATAAAGTTTCAAGCTTTAACAATGGAGCAAAGGTTGGAGAAGAAAGCACTAGGTGTGCACGACCGACACTTCCCTCAAACCACCATGAACGACTATAGCGTGAGCTCCTCTCGGATACTACGTCACTCCCTCGAGCTTTACCAATGGAGGAACACCAATAAAAAATAGAGAAAGAAGAACGGTAATGGAGGTAAAGAAAATGGAGAAGATGATGACGTATTTTTTCCAAGCTCTTTTTTTCCTCTTGTGTGGTGTCCTTTTAAATAAAAAATATCTAAGGGTATTCTTGGGAATTTTGCACTCAAAATACCCATCATACCCCCAAATTCATTCCTTGTGCATTAAGATTATCTCTACAGGTGGCAGTGAACCCTATTCAGAAGATTATCAACAACAAACACGTGCTTTGACAGCTGACCTCTTGTGAAAATATCTCTTTTTCTTTTTCTGAGCCAAAAATACCAAGGCATTGCAGTATGCTTCAGCAACATGTGATGTCGGGACATTCTTCTCAGCTCACCGTATGCTTCTTGTTTCCTGCATGTCACTAACCAACCACACCTTTCCCATCATATACCACCTTAACAAAGTAGAAATAACACAATCACCACAAATGCAACTACATGAATCTAAAATGACCTATATGAACCCTTAGACAAATAAAAACTTAAGTGAAAAAGGCCTTAAAGTAGAATTTTTACGGAGTTATCAAAGACCGATACAACATTTTTTTAAATAAATGGTTTTCATGAAAAGATGAGAGTTGCCACCAATCATTTTTAAGGTGAGATTGGAACACCTAAAAAACAAGTAATTTTAATATAACGTTTATTTTACTAAAAAGGCCAAGTTTTGGTCTTTAAAATCAGAAATTAGGTTCGAGAATTAGTTACACGTAGGGAAAGATTAACACCCCCACAACGCCCAAAATTGGTACCTAGTCAATTTCTCTATATTTTAAAAATTGAAAGTTTTGAGTTTGAAATTTATTTAATTTAAAATCCACTATGTATAAATATTTTAGAAAGGAAGTCGATTTACCAGGACTAATAACGACCACCCCCAAGCAAAAGCTGAAGTTTCATTACTAATACCAATAAATGAACATTGCCTTAGTAGTTTGGAAATCATGATGCGGGGGTTTAAAAAAGATGTTGATTTTGTAACACCCATTTCCCGTATACGCCTTTGTACATGAGTCATAGATGTCACATGACTTTTAAAACATTTTCGTACTTGAAAACCAGTAAAATTTTGTTTCTTTAAATAAACGGTTTAATAATATAGTTTATAAAATATTCTTCAAATACATAATAATAATAATAATAATAATAATAATAATAATAATAATAATAATAATAATAACGTTTCAAATCCATCAAACAACAGTTTAAGTGCAAAAGTAATATAATACTACAACCAAATACCAAGTATCTTATCAGAGCATCACAACATATCTAAGTACATGCCAACTAGTAATATCAAAATAACCATCTAGAGATGTCATATAGTTACTGATGAGGCAACCCTTGACAGATGATATCAACTGCACTCCTCATTCTGATTTATACACTAAACCTACACTTGAAAATCATCACACGCTAAGTATTGACTTAGTGAGGTATACTAATATAAATGAGGCGTAACCAAAACATAAGTTTGTCATAAAAGATCAAAATATGAATTTAATCGTATAAAGCATGATAATACATAAAACTGACTTGGTAAACCAAGTATTTTTTTTCCAAATAACTTGTGAAACAATATTTAGTATGCCCAACATACCTATCAATAAGTTTTTTTTTCCAAAATATCCATTCACTGCCCAATGTATGTCAAATGAGAATGCAAGTTACATGAGTTGCACATAAGTACTAAACGAAAGCATATGTTCTGTTGTGACAGCAACAATATACTAATATAACGAAATGGTGATTTACAAACTCATTATGAATACCATGGATGCACACATAGTGCCGAAAGTACACAGAGTACTAATACGAAAATACAACATATGCATTAAACAAAATCGATTGATAACCATCATACACAAAGTATGTCAAAATGCACCTACGACTCTCAATGCACATACAATATGCCTTTAAATCAAATTCGTAGATTAAACATTTATTTTGAAACTTCGATAACTGTTAAAATAATATAAAAGTCCATCCATCTATTTTAGAGCAGTTCATACTCTAAAATTATTCGTAAAATCATTTTCAAAAACTTTATGAAAATATTTCAAAAATATTGTAGAACATGATTTTATAAAAACATTTAAGGTTTACTCATCGCAAATCGTCCTCATATCATATAAGTACATAATAAATGCACTCACCTGGTATGCCTCACTATTATGCCTTACTGTAGTCCGATTATTCTAGAATTTTTTCCTTGCCTTACTGTAGTCCGACTATTTTGGAACTTTTTCCTTGCCTTTTTATTTGCTTGTCTCACGAATTTGATTACGATCTACGCAAGCATCCATATTCACACATACAAATATAAAACAAAATGTTAGTATCCTTACTAATATTTAAACAAAATAATAATACTCAAAAGTACTATTATTTTTTAATTCTTTTAAAATTCATCTTAACTTTTCTTTTTTTATTAATAATGGACCCTTGTCATAAAATCTTCAATTCAAGTTCAATTAAGCCCAATAAAATTCCATCATTTGATTTCCAGCTCAATACCTCAACAATACCATAATTACCACTTAAGCCACTAACTTTCTCAATATTCACCATTTTATACTTAAACTTTGCCAACTTTTCAAAATGGCTTAATTTCACATTCTAAATTCAATTTCAACCCTCAAAATGTAATTTCCAGTAATGTACATCAATTATTGAGTAACTACACAATCAGTCCATAACTTTTCAATTTTTTTGAATAGGTCCCTTAACTTTTGAAAAATTACAAAATGACCTAAAAAATTTTCTAAGTCTTTTAGAACCTTACAAATATCATTTCTAATCCATGAGAATTTTTCCACAATTTTTCCCAACTTTTTTCCTCATGTTCGAATGCTTTAGGGTTATATTTATCATGATTTTCACTTGATTCAAGCATGAAACCAACCTCTATTCAACATTTCAAAACCTCTAGAATCAAGACCCTAACTTAATTTCATCAAAATACATCTTTCCCCTAAAGCTAGGGTTTGGTCGAATTCAACATGTGCTTATGTAGCCATGTACAAATGATTTTAATCATTAATCATGCTTGTATATGATTCTACAACCTCAAAAACATCAAAATCCTTCATTAATTCCATAAATCTTAATGAGAACATAAACCCTAAAATTTGGTATCTTTGAACACAAGCAAGATTAGCATGCAATATTGGTACCAAATGATAGCGTTTTTCGCGTTGAACAATTTTATATTTCACGACACGATCCAAAGTCCAAAAGAAATTGCTCAAAAATGAAAAATAAAATTTATCTTACCTTGGTCATGGGGAACACAAAATGGAGATGAAAAATGGCCAAAGTTTCATGAAATTTTCATGTAATTTCATGTTAATTTAACCTTTATTTAAGCTTAAATGAATAAAATATTTATTTAATGAGAAATGTCCATTTCGCCATTAATGAAATTTGACCATTACCATCCAACCAAGCCACATAAACCTTATCATTTTTCAAAATTTAAATTTGAACAAATTATTTTACCCTTTTCCAATTTTACCAATCAACTTTCAAAAAACTGCAATCTTGCCACTTTAATCTAACGGTCCAAATTAAACATGGAAATAAATCTTCAAATCTAATGATCCATATTATTTTACATCATTTTAACATGTGGAAATAATATTTTTAACCATAATTTATCATCCTTCAATTTTTCTCGAAATTTCTATTCGACCCAATTTACTGATTTCTTACTGGACTTTAATCATTTATAGTTTTCAACATAAATTCCGAATCAAGAATCTGATTTCAATAAAACCCCACTATCAAGAGTAAACCAGGAATGTAATTATTTTAGGAAAAGTACCACTTAGGTCCTTAAACTTTTCCCAATTTATACTTTAGCCACTAAACTTTCAAAACTTATATTTTGATCACTAACCAAAATTTGGGGTATTACAGATTTACTTCGAGAATCACTAGAGGTCACCCCCGGGAAAAAGCGAAGGACACACTATTAACATCTAATAAATGAACATTGCCTTATTAAAAAAATCAAAGTGCAGTAAAGCAATCGATTATGGAACCTAATTATTCTAAAATAATTAACGACTTCTCTCTATCTTAAAGTGTTACTTATAAAAGTTAAAGGACCTAGGGGATAAACCTAAAAGTTCAGGTTGTAATATTAATCCTAATTAAATTTAAATAATTATGTAATTCGAATAATTAAATTGAAACCTCGAGCAAAAGCAAGGATCAAATTAAGAATTCACCTAATTTAAGAACTAAATATGAAATTAGACGTAAGATAGAGGCTCAAATATTAATCCTAATTAATTTTAATCAATTATGGTTCAAATCTAAATTAAAAAAACTCTAGAGACTAAATCGAAACAATCTAAAAATACATAATCAAAATTAAAACATTAAGTAAAGGACTAAAATGAAAGGAATCAAAATATAAAGCTTGAATTAAAATAATACAAAAAATTTAAAGCTAAAATATAAAGGACTGAAATTAAAAAATATATATAATTAAAGGGCTAAAATGTAAATAATAGAAAATAAATCAATCTAATAAAATTAAAAGTTGGGGGTTAATTCTTAATTATTACGTGGACCACAAATCACACGAATCATATCCTAAGACTGGTCATCGTGAGGTCGTAAATGAGTTGAATATATTTTTATAAGTTAGTGATTACTAAATTAGTAAGTTGGCAGTTAAAAGTTAGAATTTTACTTGGACCATAATAATGCAGATCATACCCTAGGATGAGTCACCACAAGATCGTATTAACATTCAAATATTTAAAAGCAAATAAAAAAAATAAGAGTTACCAACAACTAATTGGTCTAGTAGGATGAGACACTTAGGTCCCTTAAGCAAGGTCAGAGTTTGAATCCTAGCGTTTGCGAATAGAGCAAACTGGGTTGGGAGGGTCGCCATTACCTCTGCAATACCCGATCTAAATTAATCGACCAATAAATCGGATATCAATGATTAATTCAAAAAAAATGTTAGTGACCACAAAAAAAGTAAAGTACAGTACCGAATTAAAATTAAGAAAAGCAAAATTAATAGTAACCAAATTAAAGAAAGAGAAAATTAGAATTAATAGAGACCAAATTAAAGAAAGGGAAAAATTAGAATTAATAGTGACCAAATTAAAGAAAGGGAAAATCAGAATACATATTCGAAAATAAAAAAGACACAGTGACTAAAACGCTAATTAAGTAAAACAGTGAGCTAACATCAGAATAAAAGAACAAGAGCATTCAGTAACTAAACTAAATGAAAGCAAAATAGCGAGCCAAATTTAAATAAATAAAAAAAGGGAAACAAGGGATCAAAATGTAAATTAACTGCAAAGTTTAGGGGACTTAGATGGTGATTAACCCAGTACACCTTCACACGTAGCTTATATTAAATTAAATAAAACCCAAAATCAAAATCAAAATCAAAACCAAAACCAAAACCAAAACCAAAACCAAAACCAAAACCAAAACCCCAGCCCCCTTTCGCTCCTCACTTCTCACCAATGTGCGGCCGCCTCACCCAAAGAAAACCAAGACTCGACGACGCACCGGCCAGCTACCATACATTGGTGGCTCTCCTCTCTCCAACCGCCACCTTAGGCAGCCGAATAACACCCAAACGGCCTCCCCAAGAAGCCGAAGCACTTCCTTCTCTTCTCTATCACACAACCGGCGTCCCCTCACAAACCCAAGGACCACGCTGGCCACCACACCTGGTGGCCGTTCACCGCCCCGGTCGACACAGGTGACGTAACACCCGGCGAGGCCAAACCCTCATCCCTCTATATCTTAACTTTCTTCCTTTCTCCTTGACCGAAACCACCAAACTTAAAGGCCAAATCCGGCCACCATAAATCGATGGCCACTCACCCTCTCCGGTCACCAACGACCCCCAAAGCCTCCTGTTTCCTAATCTAAACCCTAAAATGAAAACCCAAAGGAAGAAACAAAAATGGCTCCTAACCACCTAGAGATTCTCGGCTTTTTTTTTGCTTCCCCTCCCCGACCGCTCGTCTCAAAACCCGATGACCCCCAGCTCCGACGACCGGCGCTCAAACGACCGATGAAGGTAAACCCTCTACTTCCTCAATTTTCCGTTTCGAAAATAAAAAAGGTTGCATGAAAATCAAAAAGGAAAAGAAAATACCTTTTAGAAAAAATCTCGGTTGCTTGGTGGTTTTTTGAATGAAAAAGAGATTACAATTTTTAGAATATGGAGAAAGCTCCAATCGGGGAAGAGGAGTTACAAAAGTTTTGTATCTTGCTTGTGTTCTCTGTAAAAAAAAGACGAGAGGGAGCCCCCTTTACGACTTTTTCTTGGGGTTCTTTATACCACCCGTGCTGTTACAAGACCAAAAGGTTCTTTTTTTTTGTTTTACAAATGTTTTCATATATCTTGCTTTGTTTGCATGTCTCCTTGTTGATGAGGACTGCTGGAGGGCCACTATGGAGGCCACGGTTGAAGCTGACGAGAAAGGGGGCTGCTAGCGTGGAATGGGCTAACGGGTTGCTGAAATATGGGGCCATAGCTGGATTTGTTGGGCTTATTGAATTGTTGGGCTGATGTAATGTTTTTGAGTGGGAATGGTTTAGGATGATGGGTTGTACTTGAACAATGGAATTTTGGACTAATAATTTTTTTAATTTAGGTTTTAATAATTTGGGCTTTTACATTCCCATAATAAACACATGGCTACCTAAACCCAAATATACCCAATCAAGCAAAAATCCATCATTCATGGCTAAAATTTTCCAAAACTCCCATCAATCGAATGTAGAAATTCCATGAACTAATTTATACATTCACCTGAATTAATTCAACACCACACCTGAACATCTTCAAATTGATCATCGATCCCTTTCAATTCGATTCGAAATGTTTGGACAAAATTAGTTATTACACTATTGAAATTTGGAAGTCATTTAGAAGAAAAAAAACACTATTGAAATTTGTGATTTGCGTCTGCTCTTTATCTTCATTTTCTAAGTTTTTATTTTCCAGAAAACTTATTATATAATTGATATTAGATGAATTTCAAATTTTCATTTTTTTTAATATTGATAGATCATTTAGACAAATACAGGGAAAGAATTTCAAAATGATATTCGATTTATCTTTTAAATCGATAATATAAAATTTCCTTGTCACATGATACATGGGAAAAAAAAGGGGAAAATCTTATGCATCTCATACATTTTCCTTTGTACAAGTTCCAGAAAAAAATAAAACATGCCGATTTTCGAACTATACACGAAAAAATGGTTTTTTTTCTTTGAAATTCTCAATACCTACGTACTTACGTATGTACATATATACGTACGTACATATGAATATACATACATACATACATACATACATACATACATACATACATACATACATACATACATACATACGTACGTACGTACGTACGTACGTACGTAGGTTCAAGGACTTACTCCCATGGTAATCTCCAACCAACATCCAATCACCATCTTTATCTTCATAAGTAGGCATAAATTCTGATCCATTGTATCCTTCCCTTTCTGAATATTTTCCAACTTTGAACTTGAACATGCCCTCCATAGCCTTAAGTAATTCTGGGTATCCCTTGTACATCTTCAAATCTATCTTCCTAAGATAAGGAGCTCCATCCATGCTAACTTTGACGTACATCCCACATGTTTCCGCCTGGGTTTTCTTCGTTTGGAGGCTGTTTTTCCGGTAAGATAGGATTGGCGGCCACCCGACGACTTGTGCCCTGCAATATTACATGCATATATCATCAGTAAAACCATTAATCAATGAAAACAACACTATTGAAGATAATAACTTTTCCATTTGCTTAGTTGTTGGGTGGAGCTGTTTCTTGATCACTCTTTCTAGCAGCTTCAACACTAGACTGTTCATTCATATCAGGTAAGGCTCTTTTGTTACTGATCTTAAGGGTTGTGGAAGCTTGCTTCTTCGACTCCTCCGACGTGCCTGGCAGGCCTAATCGGAGCTCGTTTGCATCAAGGTTAAGATCTTTCTCAAATGTCATGCTTTCAAATATCGGATTTTATTGAACTCTTGAAATATTGTTATGAGTTGTGCTATATATAATTGAAGAAAGGCTTAGATGATGATGAGGAACATATGCATGTGTTGGGAAATTTCTATGTTACTTTACAGAAAGGGAATATGTGGCGATAAAGGCGTGTTAAGTGCATGAATTTGGACATAGGGCAGCTAAGATGTTTGTCACATGAGCAACGCAATTTAGGCACTTGTCTTAAAAAAAGTGGGACAAGGTTGGGACAAGAGGTTAGCCTACCATATAAATATTGAAATCAGAGAAAGATCAGACGGTGTCAGATGATTGATCAATTTCCTAGGGAATAAATCTAGAGCATTGGATGTAATGACTAAATTTAAGGAACTTGGGTTGAGTCCCACATGGGGTTGTTGTTGATGGGTAAGACATGGTCTAATTTAGGGCTTTAAATTGATACAAAAGTATGGGTAACCTTACATTTGGCCATGGTGACCTTATGGAACCAACTAATCTGATACACAACCATGTATTATTAATGCGTAGGTGGTAGAGATGGGGTATTGCACCGACAAGACAAGCGATCTCAATCGTTGGTTAAAATTTGTTGTTGCTTTCATGCACGCACACGAGTGTGTCAACTTTTGACTTTGAATGGTCGGCGTTAAATTACGAAGTTATTTTCTCTTCATCTTTGAGCTTTTAAGTTAACCCTTTTGGAAGGGCCACAGGCACACAGTTGATTACATTAATTACGAGTCTTTTCTCTTCTATTCTGGATGGGGTTGGTCTGGTCTCTCCTCCTATGGTAGCCAGCTAATCAAGAACTCCACTCCTTTCCTATCAACCCCATATCACTTTGTTATCTAACCAATGGATTATTTTATTATTTTTGTTAGTATTCAAACTAAATTAGTTCATTTAATATTAGAGTGACTAGTTTGAATCAGTTCATATAACGGTGTTAATGATAATATTTAGGTTGTGTGGATTGTTGGCGATTCATTCCTTTTGGTTTGGGTGGAGAGTCATAGTCAGTGATGATACGATAGTTGGTCGATAATGTTTGTGATAAGAGATGAAGGAGAATTTTGAGAGAGAGAGTCTAAGCGAAGAAGAAGAAACCCTCTTTCTACATGAAGGTTTATATACTGACCTTTAGTGATAGTGTCACGTGTAAGACTATTATAACTACTAATAGGTTGATAGGTTAAATAGATTTATTGGTCAGATAATGAACTACAAATCATGCGGGCCTGTCGTTGTTCATGTCAATAAGTTGTAGCAAGTTGAGGGATATAGGGTTCTAGAGGAGATCTACATGAGGTATAATAATTGTCCCTCATGATTGAGAGAATGCTATAAAGTGGCTTGACTTAAGACTCCTATATGAAAGCATTTATTGTGCTTATGGAGCCGCTTATCGGGAGTCTGTGTGATAACATATTTCAAGCAACTGGACGCTTGTAATATATAACTGAGGATTCTCGGCTTTTTAATGAGATATTGGGAAACTGGTGTAAAGTTATCTCTAGGTTAAGCATGTTGCAAGGGAACTCGATATTGTTAAAGAGGTAATAAAGAAAACAATAGTGCCTCAATTCTCAATATAAGAAATGGATAAATTCCCATAAACACCATGAAATCATCTTGAATCTTTTTGGTCGATCATCAAAGAAGGTGGCAAAAAGTTCCCTTTAGTTAGAGAGGTACGGAGACAACACAACGCTCTCGACAAATGAGAAGGCAACTCCTTAACGAAATCTAACGAACGGGTAGAGGATTAAGCAGACCAATTATAAATTAGGCGGAGTTATATCAATGCTTAAATATCTATCATGTGGAGGATACTTGTCGCTAAGTTGGGATATTATTTTGTTGTAAGGAATTAGGATTCATAGACGTATTGCGGACCTCAATGTCTTTATATATTTTTCACAATCTATAGTTTGAACACGTCACTAATGAACACTTTAAATTTGGTGGAGTTATCTCAAAGGCATCTTTAGATCAATTTGTATTTTCTTGCTAATGTCTTTCACTGCTTTTAGAAATTACTTTTGTGTTTTTAATTAAACAAACGAAGTTGTCTCCAGGCCCGTATAGATTCCCTACGGATGATGCTTAACGCTTTGATAAGATTGTTTTCACATTCTTTAGAGGTCAATGGAAAGTTTCTTCAATCTTAGTAGAGACATCTCTATCCCATTTAGCCGGATGATAGAGAGGTAGAGAAGGTATCTCCACGCTTTCACCTAAATTGACATATGGATGGAGGTTGGCATCTTAATGTTTAAATATGTTTTGCAGAGGACCCTTACTTCTTAAATTGAACAGAGTCGTTTCAACACCTATACATCCACAAAGGACTCTCGACACTATTTTGGGGTAAATGGATAATGTTATCTCTAAATTTAAACATGTTGCGAGGATCTTGTTATTTAAGTTTGTGTAAGCTTGTAATTTAGCTGCATTGTTATCTTAATTTTTAAGAAAGTTAAGAATGCGATTTTTAGGCTGAATAGAGTTGTCTCTGTGCTTATGTTTGTATCAGCAGAAGATTCTCAATGCTTTTATTCACCTAGGTCCGTAGTTTGGACACTTTGTTTGTCTTAATATTTGTAAAAATCATATAGGCAAATTTCAGACTAGGCAGAATTATTTCTACATCAACATATCGTGCAGAGAATTCACAATGCCTTTATGGTATCTTATTTTATTTGAGCAGAGTTTACCGTCTTTCCTCGTGTGTCTTTTTTGGAGGATGCACAACGCTTCAAGGTTGTTTAAATAGACTCGATGGGGTTATGTCCAATCTCATATGTACTCCAAACGAAGGATTCTCAATGCTTTTGAGATGTTACGATCAATTTGGGCAAAGTTTTCTCCGATTCTGTATATATGTTGTTGAATCTTCAACGAGAATCATCTCTGCATTCTATAAAGGGCGAGGATAAGCTTTGTCAACCATAGCGTTGGTAACTTTATCCTATCTGGCCAAAAAAAATATTATAATATTTTGTTTGCATGAGAGGTATCTCCACATCTTCGGCCAATGAAAGAGGCAACTTAATACCCTCGAATGAGTCTGGTTAATAGATGGAGACTTCTTTGCCATTGGTAATAAAGAGGCTTCTCTACGCTTTATGAAGTGACAACATAGTAATTTTTATTGTTAAGACAGAAGCATAACTCTTTTGGTCAGTGTCAAGGTGATAATAAAAGAGATGAGAATTTTCATATTTTTGGTTGATAGAAAAGGTAACTCAAAGCCCTCAGGGGAATCCGATTGACAGGTTGAGGCTTCATTGTCATGGTAGGAGCGATGGGGAGATGTTTTGTATGAATTATAGAGATATGATTTGATATCATTCTTTTAGTTAAGGGATTCTGTACATATATTTATACAATCCATTATTTTAAAGGATCACATCCTAGGATTAGTATCTTTTCTTTCTTAATTGTTTCCTACTTTAGAGAGATAATTTGTATATAAAGATGTAACCTGTCCTATTGAAAATAATATGAAAATACAGAGAATTACTCTGATTTCTACATGGTATCAGATTAGGGTACGGTTTCTTTCCAACCTAGACGATGTCCACAACTTCTTCTCCTACTCCGGAGATCACTTCGAATCCAAAATTTTTTTCTGGTTCTGCTACTCAATCAAAAGGTAATCTGGTCATGAAAGAACCAGAAGGTAAACCTGATGCTACAGTTTTTTTCTCCTCCCAGTTGACCCCTAATTAGATCCTCGATTCTAGTGATACGGATCATATGACTGGTAATAAGGATTTGTTTTGCAATTTTTTTCCAAACTTTGGTAAAGCTTTAAAAACGGCTGATGGTTCCTTATGCAAAATAGAAGGACATGGCATTGTTATTCTCAATGACCATATTGTACTTAAAAATATCCTATTCGTACCAAATCTGGCTTGCAATCTCGTTTCCGTTAGTAAACTTTCCACCGACTTGCACTGCTCTGCAATTTTTAATGGTATTGATTGGACTTTGCAGGCACTGAACTCAAAGAAAATGATTGGTAAAGCCAGCTTACAGAATGGTCTATATATTCTTCCTGCCTCTACTAAAACCGAAATCTCGAAATCTTTCACCTCTTTAGAAAAAGTTGATAATGTTATGTTATGGCACTATCGTTTAGGCCATCCTAGTTTCCACTATCTTGCAAAAGTTTTTCCTGCTTTATTCATTCATAAAAGGCTAAATTCTTTTTCTTGCAAAGTTTTCTCTCTTGCCAAACATACTAAATCAACTTATTCTCCTTCTATATATAAGCCTTCTCACCCTTTTGATTTGATCCACATTGATATTTGGGGCCCTTCTCGGGTGAAGAATGCTGATAATTGTAAGTGGTTTATCACTTTCATTAATGATCACCGTAAGATAACTTGGACTTATTTGTTGAAAGATAAATCTGAAACTACTGGTGTTTTTACCCAATTTTATAACATGGTTCTTGTCAGCTCGGTATGAGTACTATAAATAAGTGCGGATATATGTGCAAGTATACACAATCGAACTAGTAATACAATGATAAGTTGAGTATCGTCTCCACAGGGAATTGGGGAAATCAAATAGGTTTGTCAAGGCACTTTACTTTGTCACCTAAGTAAAGTTAGCGATGGTATATACAAATGATAATGTTGTGGCAAAATGGAATGATTGATGTGGAAATAAAACGATGGCAGTATGGTAACAATAGGATATGTTGAGGCAAATTAAATTTGTGATGTGTGCAAACAAATGGAAATGACAAGGCAAAATAAAATGTAAATACATGATTTAATTTATAGGACTTTAGCTTTCTCACACGACAAGCAGTTATGGGAATGAGTGATAGGAGTCACTAGTAAAATCTAAACCTATTTCTCTAAATGGTATTTCTTCTATGCCTAGCCTGCCCGACAGAGTCTACTGAGGTGCCCTATGCTATCTCTAGTAAGGGACTCGACAGATTAAAGATGCCCTGGAAAATCTGATTGGCGTAAACCCCTGTAGTGATCCTATTGGTACAG